CAACCTACAGTGCCTGGGCTCCAGGACATATACCACAGATTCCTCCATTGTTATGTTATGTTATTGATATGTTCCTGCATTCACCTAAGTATGTGTGTATCATTACACTTTTTAACCAGTCCCAGGGGTTTCCCTGCTTTGCTTTCTCTGACCTCTCTAGTCTATCACCATTGGATTTCATGTAACTCACCTAAGTTCCTTTCCTTTTATTGCAATGTATAAATGCAAATGCAACCTGCCACTCTCCTGAGCATTATCTCAATTCATTGAGGTTCTGCTTCCCAGCATAGGCCCACAGTTTGGCTCAAATAAACTCACAAAAATTCTTTACAGGTTTTAATGCTTTTTTATGTTAACAAACTGGAGCTGGAGTCTGAACACTGCAGGCCTTGCCTTTCACAAGGGTATATAGTGTGGGGCCAGGCAGTGCTGGGAGAACAGCTGCAGAATTCCTCTATCAGTGTGCCCACAACACCTTACCTTAGGTTTTCCTAGGACCGATTTAACATTAGGCAATAATCTTGTTGTGGAGCTTTTTCATTTTAGAAAGATAGAAGATATGGACTTAAAAGAAAACAAGTAAGAGTTTGTGTGGGAAAGTGGTTTGTGATATGCAGAGTGGGATGGGGACTGGTATTGGGACACTCACACTCTCAGTAACCATCTATGAATGAATTGGCCTATAACACAGGAAGAAATCAAGTGCACACATACTCTCTCTGTCTGCACATGCATACCTCCCTAGTGGACTGGGGTTTTTATTGAAGAATCTGTGCTGTCTCGCAGTCCTGTGCCTCATCCCAAGCCATGAAAATGGTACTCAAAAACGTTTGATGAGTAATATTGCAGTGCCTCCCCTAGTCGCTGGGGCTTTTATGGGATAGATGCTCTCTGTGCGGGCAGATGGAGGGTCTGATAGGAATCTTGACTTCATTACTTCAGAGCCCCATTTAGACATTCAACATGGTGGGGGGCAGGGTTTTCAGGACTGAGCATTGATAGGCTGCAGCTGGGAAGGCAGCACCCCCAGTGACTCAGCACCAACTCTAACCCTCAGGCACCACAGCGGGTGGGTGTGCATTTGTTTCTGGGAGGACTATTCTCTAGGCATTGAGCCAGAAAGTGGGTCATTCTCCATCCAGCAAACGAGGGTGGAAGTGGGGGGTGGGGGGTTTGGGGATAATGGTGAGGGGGGTAGGGGAGTAAGGGGTGGAGGTGAGAGGGAGGGGGTGAGTAAACAATCTTGTCCATCCTATTGACCAGTTATACTGGTCTGGCCAGTCCGCTGTGGGACTTGGTGTGAATAGCATGGCCTTTGAGTAACCACACAGCCCTTGATCCTAGGGAGGGGAGCAAGAGAGGATCGCAGGACTGAGGCAGGGTGACCAAGAAGTCCAGCTTTGACAATAGATTCGAAAGTGACTTAGAGAGGAAATGGAGAGCCCTAGGAGCAGCACAATCACCAAGCCCAGGGAGAGGTGACTTCAGGGGTCCACTGAGGGCAAGAAAGAAAAAAGAGTAGAGGGTGGGAGGAATGTCAGAAACGGTGGCAGTAAATGGAGAGGACAAAGGCAGAAGCAGCTCTAAGTTTGTGACTGGGCCAGGGAAGCTCTTGACACTGAATAAAAGCAAGGGAAGCTTCAAGCCTGGACCCGGACACACGAAGCAGAGCAACTGGAAAGGGTGAGGCAAACCAGGTACTGTGAAGTACTACCATCGCCTGTGAAGGAGGTTTGAGGGTCAGGACAAGCATGACATTTACATGGACATGGTGGAAATGTTTGTGTGGACTACTGTCCTACTCTGTCTCGGCTGCTATAACAGTATGCCATAGACTGGGTGGCCTAACCAACCTGTTTCTCACAGTTCTAGCAGCTGGCAAATTTAAGGTTAAGGTGCCAAAAGACTCGGTGTCTGGTGAGGACCCACCAACTGGTTCATAGATAGCCTTTTTCTTGATGGCCATTTCTCATGGTGGAAGGAACAAGGGGGCTCTATAGGGTCTCGTTGAAAAGGGCAATAATCCCAGTCACAAGGCTCTCTGATCTCAAGACCTAATCATATCCCAAAGGCCCCACCTCCTAATACCACCACACTATGGTTAGAATTTTGACATATAAATTTGGGGGTGGGGGAGCGAGGACAAACAGTCTGTAACAACCGTTTTACTAAATCTGAATATAACTCACTCTTCTTATTAAACAATTCATTCATTTAAAGTTACAGTTAAAAATAATTCAGGCATTGCCCTGCCAGCATGGCTTAGTGATTGAGCATCGACGTATGAACCAGGAGGTCATGGTTTGATTCCCAGTCAGGGCATAAGCCTGGGTTGCAAGCTCGATCCCTAGTAGGAGATATGCAGGAATCAGCCAATTGATGATTCTCTCTCATCGTTGATGTTTCTATCTCTCTCTCCTTCCCTTTCTCTCTGAAATCAATAGAAATATTAAAAAAAAAAATAATAATTCAGGCATTGTATGATAAAGGAATGATGCATAGGTAGATCTAGTTAAGTTATTCCTCGAATCCTGTGATGATAGTCATGGAAAGAGTTGCTTTGCAAATGATATCCCAACCTGAACCCTTAATCGTTCCTAAACAGGGAAAGGTATGAAAGCAGGTGTGTGTCAAGCGTTCAGTTGAACTGGATCCATTTGACCTGTAAGAGTAGAGGGGCACTATGCATACATATTTATTTAGTAAGAGCCTGAGAGAGCAGAATTGAAATGAGGTGGGTGGCAAAGCTGGCTAAGCACTTTTATTAGCACCTAACTCTTTTAAAAAGTTACAAAGGGAGGTTTAAAAGAAGAGCATATTTTCTCAGTCAGTAGGGAAATTCAAGTGCAGGTTATCCCATCTTTTCGGCACTACTTTATTTAATCAGGGTTTTAGCACTCACAGCTATTCCAGAACCATCTATTAAAAGAAACACACACACACACATACACACACACACACCCACACACCCACACACCCACACCTGGAGCTGAGAAAGCAGACAAAAGGCTGTACGTGATATCAGCCTAATGATTTATCTGAAGAATCTGTGACCTGTGGAATCGTGATTGTTAGGACTGAGAGACACCTGCTCACCTTTCTGAAATGAGCTGCTGAAGAGATATTCTGAGACTTGGAAAGGGTAAGGGCTACGATGCTGACCTTTTGGAGACAGGAAACCTTTGATGAACTATAGGAGACCAAGACAGTTCATTTAAAAGATGGTTTCAAAGCCTTATCGGCGCTCGTTTTGTATATGCTTTACCGAAGCCCCTGGGTTGTCTTTTTACATAAACCCAGCGAAATAATGGCTTCCACACCTGTTCCTATGTCTGCAACCCTCACGTGGCACCTTGGCTTCTGGGCTTTGTAACTGTCTTTCGGTCTCCTTTGTGCACAAAATTAAAATCTCCTCACCATTTGGCAGCATGGGACTTTCCCCAGATGAGCACTAAAGAGATAGGAAAGGTCACAGCACCATCTCCATGTAATTAAGGCAGGGCAAACAGCTAAATAAAAGGGTTGCTAATGACATCTCCTCAACTCTCTATATGAGTCCCTGTTCCGGTATTGGAATAACTTAAGGATCAGCTGCTTGGAAAATGTACAAATTCTTAATCTCTCTTACAGGTAATAGGATATATATATATATATATATATATATATATATATATATATAATTTAAAGACAGCTTTAGGTTTGGCTGTATTTAGGCTTGTGTTCTCCCTTTCTCTGCCTATCTCTGTCTGTCTTGGTATACACACACACACACACACACACACACACATCTACTCATTTTCATATATGTATGTATATATAGATGCATATATCTGCATACATGTGTATATACCTCTGTGTGTGTGTGTGTGTGTATGTGTGTATATATATATATATATATGTGTGTGTGTGTGTGTGTGTGTGTGTGTGTGTGTGTGCTTTTGTTAGGTAGTAATATTTAATAAAATATAGGTTAAAATTTAGGAAAAAAAAATAGCTTCAAACTTTTCCTTACAGTCTTAAGTTGACCATCTACTGAAGTAGAGCATGGAATCAAGGAGCCAGTTTGTCCTCTTTTAACTCTTAACATGTAAGACTCTAAAATTAAAAAATGATCAATAATTTTTTGGCAGGTTCTGGAATTAATGAAATTGTCTGGAAATATATGAAGCAATTAAGTTTAAACTGCTGAGCTTAAACTTAGATAGAAATTTATAGTAGTAAGAATAAGTCCCACACAAAATTTTGCCTTCATTTATTGAGCACATCATTATTAAGTACACAGTAAATAACACCCACAGGAATAACCAAGAATAACACACCCTCCTGGCCTTGAAACCTAGCAGAAGAGACTAAGAAATAAACAATAACTTACTGTGTGATGGGTAATGCAACTCAGGGGTCTAGGGGAGTGGAGAGGAAGGTAGGGTAGCACACCCTGTGTGTGTCAGGAACCGTTCCTGGGAGAACAGATGCTTGTGCATCACAGGTGATGGCCACTAGCCAACAGGTGAGGGGAAGCCCTTTGTAGGGGCGGGACTGTGCACTGGGTCCAGAAGACAGGAGAGGACATGTTGAGGAAGTGCAGGTAAGTGTGAGTTAGGGTTTAGGGTATAACAGGAGAATGAAGCATCCTCTGAAGGACCCTGTCTTCTCCACTAGGCTTCCTCCTTGAGGACATCCCTGACAACTGGAGTTGGTGCTCTGTGTCCCTGTGACTTTTTAACATATTTCTGTTGTTGGAGTGTTTATACCAATCTAATTGTTCATGTCTGATTTTCATACTTGTCTTTAGGATAAACATCAGGACTCTCTCCCAGTTCTTGTCATAAAACCTAGAAAACAGTAGGTGCTCAATAGTACCAGTTTATTAAGTGCACACGTGGATGGCTGGCTGGCTGAGTGAGAATATGCACAGTTTGGGAATGAGAAAGTCAAGAAGTGCCTTGGTTATCAAGCAGCATTTCGTAAAAGATTAATGGTTTCATTTTTTTCTGTTTCAGATTACTTGCAGCATATAATAGCCTTACCGACAAACACCTGGTGGGATATTTTAACAATACAAGGATAAGGCGGCATCTCTTAAGATCAGGGCTGGTAAGATTTGGTTTCCGCTCTTCCTGCCCTTTTGTTTCATTAAGTTCAACAATTCTCTCCCTTTCCTGTTTTTCTCTTTGAACTAATTAGGGACATCTCCCCTGACCCCCATTTCAGAAGAATTGCTTCCTTTGCAAAGCTCTGATTTAACTTGTTGAGGTTGTTTTTCAAAAGATAGGAAAGGAGGTCACAAAGACTGCTAAGAGAACTTATAAATTACTGAGGAAAACCCCTGAGTTTTCCACAGCATATTTCACTTCTTTGTCTATTCATTCATTTATTTAACACACTTATGGACTACAGTCTATGGGCCAAGAACTGTTAAGGATTAAGGGTAGAGAGGACTTGACTGTCTTTGGAAAAAAGTGCATTGTTTTCAATCTTCACAGAATCTTTAAAAACAGTTTCATTTTTCTAAGGTGGTTTATTGACACATTAATATATTTTGCTAGCTCCAAAACTATCATTTCCAAAACAAACAAACAAAAAAATCCTATTTCTCTAAATGTACTGTAAAGCCATTAAAAAGTGCTATAGGTTTCCATGGAAAGAAGTGGGTGTGGGTATAGAAAGGATAACTAAAGAGTTTTGCAGTTTACCTTCTTAAAACACAGTGGTTTTCCTTAACTATTGTTGCTATGCTATTGAAAGCATATGCATTGCGGTTCTAATTGTTTGTGTGCTTAGCACTCTGGCTGGGAGGTCCCAGAGAGCTTGCTTTGTGCCTCCTGTGGCTTTGTTATCAGACAGATCTGGCTGGAAGTTGGCTGTCATTTACAAGACATAGACTTTAGCAAATCACTTAACCCTGTCAGTTCCAGCTTTCTCAATTATTAAATAAAGATGATGATACTCAGTCCTCAGGATTGTTGTGTAATAAATGGTTGTAACTATTGTGGTTACTATTAACATTACTTCTTTGGATAACAATATGTGAGCTTTATGTGTAAACAGGAAGGACTTGGTATTTACTTATCGAGACATCATTAACAAGCACTTATGTGCATGACAGCTCAAGTAAGGTACAGCTCTTTCTCCAGAGTAGTCTTTCAAATATAGTCCCTGACTCAGCAACCACCTGGGAACTTGTTAGAAAATGCAAATTTTAGAGCCCCACCCCAGACCAATTGAGTCAAAAGTTAATGGAGTGAGGCCAATCAATTAGTTTTTTAAAATTAAATTTATTGGGGGTGACATTGGTTAATAAAGTTATGTAGGTTTCAAGTGTACAATTCTATAATCCATCATGTGAATTGTGTGTTCACTACCCAAAGTCAAGTTTCCTATCGCCATTTATTTATCCTTTTCTATCTGCCCTCACCCCACTTTCCTTCTGGTAACCACCATACTGTTGTCTGTGTCTATGAGTGTTTGTTTGCTTTTCTTGTTTGTTCATTTGTTGCTTTCAGTTTTATATCCTTCATAGGAGTGAAATCATATGGTTCGTGACTTTTTCCATCTGACTATTTCTTTTTTTTCCCTAAATATATTTTATTGATTTTGTACAGAGAGGAAGGGAGAGAGATAGAGAGTTAGAAACATCGATGAGAGAGAGTCATCAATCAGCTGCCTCTTGTACACCCCCCCACTGGGGATATGCCCGCAACCAAGGTACATGCCCTTGACCTGAATCGAACCCGGGACCCTTCAGTCCCCAAGCCGACGCTCTATCCATTGAGCCAAACTGGTCCCGGCTGACTATTTCACTTAGCATAACATTCTCAAGATCCATCCAGGTTGTCACAAGTGGCAATATTTCATATTTTCTTATGACTGAGTAGTATTCCATTGTATATATGTACCATATCTTCTCTATACCAATTATCTATTGAAGGACACTTTGGTTGTTTCCATGTCTTAGGCATGATAAATAATGCTGCAATGAACATAGGAGTGCATGTATCTTTGTGAACACATGTTTTCAAATGTTTTAGGCAAATACCCAGAAGAGGGATTGTTGATATGATAACACCAGTCTTAATTTTTGAGGAACTTCCATACTCTTTTTCCACTGTGGGTGTACCAAATTAAAATGGCCACATTACCCAAAGCAATATACAGATCAAATGTAATCCCCATCAAAATTTCTAATCTGTTTTTTCAATTGTCTTCTATGTAATCTGAGACAGGTTCAAGTTTAAGAGCATTTTCCCTGTAGGAACTTCCAGTCTAGTTGGAGAGATAAGACAATTCCAGGGGGAAAGATAACAAGAACACATGTTAACTGCAGGGGAAGAGGCGGTGCAGCACGTTCTCAACCTATTTTTCCAATGGGAGCACATGACATGATATCCTGTGGACAGCACATTTCAAAGACTGTGACTGTATTCCCAAGTGTACTTTCTATAGCCACACACCTTTCTTTCATTGGAAAATGCATTCATAAAAAAAGATTATCAGTAGTCAGTCACTTGTAACACAACTTAATCACAGCACTCCAATATGTTATAACAACATTGCTAAAAAACAAACAAACAAACAAACAAACAAAAAACCCTACAGTTATCAAAATTGAGAAACGTGGGCGCACATTAGACCTGAAAAGAAGAGCAGCCTTAATCAAGTGGAAAGGAAGAAGATAAACAATCCAGAAAAAAAATAACAACCTTTAGAGAACATACAGAAAGATAAAAAAATAATTTAAAAAATGTTGCCATAGGAAGGATTAAAATAAAAGAAAAAACAAGTATAGTTGACCCTTGAATAACACGTAACACAGTTTGAGCTGCAGGGGTCCTCTTACATGTGGATTTTTTCAATAAGTTCCTGTATTGTTTTTGATCTATGGATGCTGAAGGCTGACTATATGCATTCATATACTGCATTTTACATAAAGAACTTGAACATCCCCAGATTTTGGTATTATCAGGGTTTCTGGAACCAATTCCCCTTAGATACTGAAGGACAAATATATTTTTGAGGGTTCAAAAGTTACATGCAGATTTTTGACTATGTGAGGGTGGGGACCCCCAAACCCTGTGTTGCTCAAGGGTCAACTGTAAATAAAAAACAGAAACTCCATACTGTTCTCCACAGTGGTTGCACCAGTCTGCATTCCCACCAGCAGTACACAAGGGTTCCTTTTTCTCTGGGAGTTTCCTCAAAAAACTGAAAATGGAACTCCCATTTGACCCAGTAATCCCACTCCTAGGATTATATCTCAAGAAACTAGAAACACTAATCAGAAAGGATATTTGCACCCCTATGTTCATAGCAGCATAATCTACAATAGCTAGGATTTGGAAACAGCCTAGGTGCCCGTCAGCAGATGATTAGATAAAAAAACTATGCTATATCTGCACAATGGAATACTATGCTGCCATAAAAAAGAAGGAATTCTCATCATTTGCAGCAATCTGGATGGAATTGGAGAACATCTTGCTGAGTGAAATAAGCCAGTCAATGAAAGAGAAACACCACATGACCTCACTCATTTATGGATAATAAAGAACATTATAAACTGATGAACCAAAAGATAGATATAGAGACAGTAAACAAACAAGCAGTCTGTCAAATTACAGCAGGGAGGGTAAGGAGATCTGGGGGAGATAAGAGCTCAACCAAAGGACTTGTATACATGCATATAAGTACAACCAATGGACACAAAACTCTGGGGAGGGAGGGTATGTATGGGAGGGGGGTAATGGTAAAATATGAACACAGATAATAATTTAATAAAAAAAATAGAAAAAAAAACACAAAATAGGGGTTTAGAGAGACAGGAGAAGGAAAACATTAGTACAATTTTGGCATGTAGAGCTTATCTAATCGCTCACATTTTCAAAATTATGCTGATTAGTAATTTCTCCACTGACACCTCATTTTATTGTCTGAAAACAAAAAGTTTGTGCAGATTAAAACAAGTTTCTTTACCTTTAAAACAAAAAAAAAAACAAAAAAAAAAAACAACACAGAAACTACCTCCAAAAACCGGTTTGACTCAGTGAATAGAGCATTGGCCTGTGGACTGAAGGATCCCAGGTTCGATTCTAGTCAAGGTCATGTACCTTGGTTGCAGGCACATCCCAGTAGGGGGTGTGCAAGAGGCAGCTGATCGATGTTTCTCTCTCATCGATGTTTCTAACTCTATATCCCTCTCTCTTCCTCTCTGTGAAAAATCAATAAAATATATTTTTTTAAAAAAACAAAACAAACAAAAAACACAAACTACCATTTCTGGGACTTGCAATGGTGCCAATAGATACCAATCTGGAATAACTTTATATCTGCAGTACTCCATACTCTAAAAAAAAAAAAAAAAAAAAAATCCGAATCACAACAAATTCTATTACATTCTGGGCTGGAGAGTGGAAGACGAAAAAGCAGAGTGAAGACAAAGTAATGAAGCCAATTATTTTAAAAACAAAGTGATGAGAGCCTCTGTAGTTTACCTGTTCTGCCTTTCAAAGCAAATTTCCTATGAGATCATCAGTCCTGTGATCACCGCTCCTATTCATTGTATCATGGTAGCACCCTGCCACTTCCTCCCCAATGTGTGCAAAAAAAAAAAAAAAAAAAAAGAAATGAAAAGAACACCTGGGTTCCATCAAGGGAAAATTGCTACTCTAATGAAAACCTTGCTTTAAACAACAAGTGCACCATCTGTGTGTGTTTTCATGGTGACGGGTATATAGGACTGCCTTTCTCTTTTTTTTGCCTTATGAAATATTTATTAAACGTGAAAGTTTATCAACCACAATAGTGTACTCCTTTAGGCTTAGGAAACACTGCCTCTCTATCTCTCCCTGTTTGGTGACTAACAGTACATTTTCTGCTTTGTAGTTCTATGTGTGTCTTATTTATTCATGACAGATCACAAGAAATGGAAGAATACTGTCTGAAAAAGAATACAGACTAAATATCATGAAGAGGGATCACCAAAAATATATCCGGGAGTGCTTAGCCCAGGCTATTTTTCATAAGGTCCTTGATATGGAGGTACAAGTATTTACGCTTTTCTTTATAACTGATATTTTCTAATATGATAATTAATAATACTTCTGTATCCCGAGGCAGAGACATTCTTCTTGTATTTCATTAAAAACGAATGGAATAAGGTGACCTGAGAAATGCTCTATATCTCTCTAGGGGGCAAGGAGCCAACAGACTAAAGTAAGCTCTTCTCCATCTCAGTTGGAGAAAAATATGGACGCTATTATATACTTTGTGATATTTAATTTAACAAATGTAGATTTCTAATCCATAATGGCTACTCTAAAACAAAACCACCCTCACCATCTGTACCTCAATTTCCACTCGCTAAAAAAAAAGTGACATCTGTTTAAATATCAGTAATTCCACTGCCATGAATTATTTCAGATTTGTTATTTTTTTAAGGCTCCGAAGCTCAGCCGTATGCTAAATTTCAAGGAATAGGCATTGAAACATCTGCTCTCCCTCCTACTTTAGGCCACATTGGTCAGCATGGACTTACAATCAACAACATTTCTTTTTAATCTGACATGGCATTTTTAGTAGGATATCTAGCTAACTTGATAAATTATTTTAGCCTTGCACCATGAAATTTGTAGTTTCAAGCATCAATACCATTTTAATCTCTGTGAAAAAGCATGTCACTTCTTGGCTTGAACATAGAGCAATAAATCAGAAAACTTGGCTCATAAAACCATTGACCTGTGGGCGCAGTAAACATTCATGAACAACTGTAGAATCATCAGTAAACCACTACTAAGTTTAGTGCCACTGAAAATTATGCTACCATTATATTGAGCAAGTGTTGTGTTTAGTTAAGATGTATGTGATCTGTTAATTTAGGAATCCATTTTGTGTTTATATCATGTGCATTAATTATGTAGAATCACTGTTTATGGTCCCTAAATCCACTTGCTTATGAAAGTATTAGTTGCAATTCTATAACTAATGTTAAAAAAATAAAGTGTAAAATCAACCTATACCTAGTTTCAAATTTAATCAGTAGGCACAAAGTTCTATATTAGTCTTGATCCTGGAGGTTTTCCAAACTTTCATATAACTGGCACATTATAACTGGCAAATATGCTATTATTTAAGCATCTTTGTGTATTCTTAAAGTTTGGAAAAAATATCTGAAATAAATGGTAAAAATGTAATATCATATATAATAAAGAGGTAGTACTCAAATTAACCCTCACACCCTCACAAGATGGCTGTCTATGACCAGGCCAGCCAGGGGTTAGTGAGGGACAACCAAACAACTCGACAAGCAGGCTGCGTGGAGCAACCAGGATGGTGGTGGTGGTTGGGGGGAGGCAGTTGGGGGCAACCAGGCCAGAAAGAGGGGCAGTAGGAGGTGACCATCTGGTGGGCAGTTAGGGGCGACCAGGCTGGTGGGGGTGGTGCAGCTGGGAGTGACCAGGCCAGCAGCAGGGACAGTTGGAGGCGATTAGGCTTGTAAGGGGGGGGGGGGCAGTGAGGGGCAACCAGGCTGGCAGGGGAGGCAGTTAGGGGCAACCAGGCATGCAGGTGAACAATTAGGAGCCAGTGGTCCAGGATTGTTAGAGGGATGTCCGACTGCCAGTTTAGAGATTGGGCCTAAACCGGCAGATGGACATTCCCCAAGGGGTCCCAAATTGGAGAAGGTGCAGATTGGACCTCCTCCGCCCACCCCCTCCCCCAATACATGGATTTTGTGCACTAGGCCTCTAGTCCTATCTAATAAAAAAGTAATATACAAATTGACCATCACTCCAACACACAAGATGGCTGCCCCTATGTGGACACAAGATGGCTGCTACAAGATGGCCAGCAGGGGAGGGCAGTTGGGAGGGACCAGGCCTGCAAGGGAGGGCATTTGGGGGCCATCAAGCCTGCAGGGGAGGAAAGTTAAGGTGACCAGGCCTGCAAGGGAGGGCAGTTGTGGGCGATTAGGCCAGCAGGGGAGGGCAGTTGGAAGGGACCAAGCTTGCAAGGGAGGGCATTTGAGGGTAATCAAGCTTGCAGGGGAGGGAAGTTAGGGGCAAATAGTCTGGCAGGGGAGGGCAGTTAGGCATCAATCAGGCTGGCAGGCAGAAGCAGTTAGGGACAATCAGGAAGACAGGCAGGCAAGCAGTTGGGAGCCGGCAGTCCTGGATTGGAGAGCATACAGGCTGGGCTGAAGGACACCCCCCCCTGCACAAATTTCATGCACCAGGCCTCTAGTATAATATATAATTACAAAATATAATATATAAATTTATTAACAAATAGACTATTTCTCTCTAAATTGCCACATTTAGTTTAGGCTGATGCTATTACTAATTAGTTCTGTTAATATTCATGTATTCATTCATGCAACAAACATTAATATGTATCAGGCTCACCTATGTATCATTATGAGGCTATGTGATGTATAGCTGCAAGATATAATTAAAAAACAAAACAAAACACACAACACACTGTAGAAAGTGATAAAATTCCAGAAGAAAGGAATGGGCAGACTGAGCTCAGGAAAGTAGGGATTGGTGGCTTCCCTCTGTGAGAATCAGAGGAAGCTGCACAGAGATCCTGCTATTTGAACTGGACCTTGAAAACAATGAGCCCTCACATGAAACCATGAAAAAGGCATTTCAGGGAGTGAGGTTACAGAGATATGACAGGACATTGCGGATGGGAAGGAAAGCTCACTGAGGCCAGACTGCACAGTGGGTTGGTTGAACGGATGGAAGGAAGAGACACTCTCCAATAAGCTGGGGCCCAGTTTCTGGAGAGCCTTCAATTCCAGTTCTTTTAAATTTTTGCTTTGAAGAGATCAATACTACTAACAACCAAAACAAAAGCCTAGGTTTGGAGTATAGGTGATGAGGCGATGAAACATTTTTTAGCAGAAGACTGAAACAAATGAGCAGAGCTGTTTTAGAAAGATGATGTTGCTAAAAATGTGGGAGATGGATTAATGAGCTGGAAAAGATTGGAGGTGGGAGGTCAATTAGGAAGCTGTTGCCAAAGGGTGTGAGCTAACAGCAGGAGCTGAAACACTGGGGAGATGCAGCTGTCTGCAGAGACAGGGAAGAGGGAGGAAGACAGACACTGGCTGAGTGAGGAGGGGTGAAGAAGGAGTCCAGAGAAATAATGAGGTTTCTAGCTTGGCAGGGGGTGGGGGTGTGTGCATTGCAGGAGATCAAGAACAACAACAACACAGGCTGGAAACGAACCTTCCAGTGGTGAAAAACATGCCTGCGAGCCAGGAGAGTCTCACAAGTGTCAGAATGGTTATGTAAGATGGGTACTGGGACACGAGAAATTCAGTTTTGACCCAGAGGACAAAGACAGTGGTGGCCCTGATAAAAGCAGGTCCAGGGGTGGTGGTGATGAGGGGTTGTGGGAGTGGGAGACTTTGGTGATTGGGAATAAATGGAAGATGGAAAGTGGTTGACATAGAATCTAATCAAGTTTGGTGAGAAGTGGGAGAGAGAACAGAAGGGGAGATTGAAAAGGGAAGTGTGATGCTGAGGTAGGGAATGACTGAGTCTGCACAGTCTCAGGGCAGCCGGAGGGGCTCAAGAACAGGAAAAACACTTCACAGTGCTCTCAGATGTGTATGAATAATTTCAACTCAAATTATACACAGATTACATGACTAACATATTATAGAAAAATTGGAAAACATAAGAAAGTATGAAAAAGGAAAATAACCACATTAACACCTCCTCTGAGACAATTGCTTCTCTTTTAGTCTCTATTCATATTTATACATTAATAAAAGCATGATATTTTTGAGAAGACCATGGTTTTGTGGAAAATAAAAACCAATAACAAAATAAAACAAAAACCCAACAACAACTAAAAATTCAACCACTGTGTGATTTGAGGAAAAATTCATGGTCCTCAGCCTTCTTTTATAAAATAAGACTGCTTAGCAATTAGAGTTGTTCAGGAAGAGATGATGTACAAAAAATGCCCCCTCCCCCCCAAGCATGGGGACAGGCAAATAATATGAACTTGATAAATTAAATTGCAATTCTGTGCAATTCTGTATCTTCCTTTCTTTGTGTATGACATATATTTTCCATTTTTTAAAAACAAAATATTTGTAACTTAATTTTAATGATTCTATTCTATTCTATGGATATGCCAAAAACTTAACCATTCTCTTTATTTTTTTATTTAATTTTCATTTTTTAAATATATTTTATTGATTTTTCACAGAGAGGAAGGGAGAGAGATAGAGAGCTAGAAACGTCGATGAAAGAGAAACATCGACCAGCTGCCTCTTGCACACCCCCTACCGGGGATGTTCCCGCAACCAAGGTACATGACCTTGACTAGAATCGAACCTGGGACCTTCAGTCCGTAGACGACGCTCTACCACTGAGCCAAACTGGTTTCGGCTTAACTATTCTCTTTAAAGTTAATAGTGCTTTTGAATTTTTGCTTTGAAGAGATCAATACTACTAACAACCAAAACAAAAGCCTTTTCATATATATATATATATATGAATATATATATATATTCAAATATATTTTTATTGATTTCAGAGAGGAAGGGAAAGGGAGAGGAAGATAGAATCATCAAGGATGAGAAAGAATTATTGATCTGTTGCCTCCTGAACAACCCACAATGCGGATCCAGCCTGCAATCTGGGCATGTGCCCTGACAGGAAATTAAACCTCAACCTCCTAGTTCATAGGTCGGTGCTCAACCATTGAGCCATGCTGGCCAGGCAACAAAAACCTTTTATACAGTATCTTTGGGCCATTTAGATAGTATTATATGTACATTAAAAAAAATCCAGATTTCCTCCTACGTTTTAAAAGTGAAATTTATTGGTAAAAGGAAGGGACACTTTTACCTATCTGAGGTATATTATATTGGCTTTCTGAGATATATGATATTGGCTTTCTAAAGAGTTGTACCAATATATATTCCCACTTGTACACTAAAGCAGGTGATTCTTCTCCATCTCAATGACAGGAGGGGTAATTGAGACTCAGTTAGCTGGTAGGCTTATTTTCCTTTAAAAAAAATTGTTGCTGTAATTGATATGAATCTCCACTCCATTTTTCCTGTATGCTTAGCGTTACCATCAGCTTGAAATTAAAAAGAAACTGGAGACCTTAGCCAGAAAGGAGCGAATTCAGAGATTTAAGGTAAGAAGTCACATAACTCTCTTTCATCTCATAATATTATTTTACGATTTTGGAAGCCAATGATGCTATTATTCAAGTTTCTTGGGGCACTTTGGGATAACTTATAGCTGAGGTCAAATGATGGTTTCTCCAAGCCTAAATATTGGCCACCATTATTACAAAAGATCATGACAAAATAGGAGCTGCCCGTGCAAAATGTTTTATGAAGCACAAAGAAAATTTGAGAACTTTCAAAGAAAAACTTGAAAACATTATTTTCAGACCTGGAATTAAGTTTTTGTATTTTCTTGGCTGACATGTGATAGAGGCCTAAGGATTTTTTTGTTGTTGTTGGTTTGTTGTTGGTTTTTTGTCTTAAGAAGGTAAAAATAAATGGAAATGTTTTTGATGTATTGAATACAGGGCATTCTAAGAATTATTCAATGGCACATTTTTATGCAAATGTGACCCTAGAGAATACCTGGTAGGAAAAATCTACCTTAGAAAACAAGAGCATAAGATTTAGATATTTTGTATAAAGTATTTCAAAATTTCCTGTTTGTTTTCTATTCTTGTATTTTATATTCTTCTTTGAAGTAAACTTAGGAAATATATAAATTTGAACCAAGAGACCAGATATTCAATTAGGCATGTTTGAAAGGTTTCAATGTAGGTTAGCAGTTTTACTCAATTTCTTGAGCCATTCAAACTTACATGTTGTTCTTCATTTTCTGTGTTGTATTACAAATGTGAGGCCTAAGACATTTCACAAACTGATGAATATTTGTAAAGCCTCTGTAGAGTGACTTGCTATCTAAGATAGTAATGTTTCCCTCTTGCCTGATAGACTCAAACCTTTCTATTTTATCATGGCCAAAAGATAATCTTGTTACAAAACTGTTGTTAAATAACAGAAGACAGGTCAGTTTTTCAAGATCAGAAGCGTTAGGGTGTAGAGATTTGTGATTAATTCAACTTTGCCAAATCTGTCCTATATCAAGGACTGAGTTATAGATTCTATAATTTACTGCTGACCTGTTGATGGAGAGAAATGGTCACTGGAAATAAAGAGTGACTGGTGCTGCCTGAAGAGGTGTGTGATCCACTCTCACCCAGTGAGCCTACAGCATTGGAAGATTTGTGATAGACACTCCCGTTCCTCCTTGTATGCTTTTCACTTGTAACAATTTTCACTTTACAGCTGCACTTAGTGAAAGACCTACTAGTATGTTTTGGCTTCTTTTATGTAACATGGAAACAATGTTTTCTTAGCGTATTATGTAATAATTTGAAATATAGATTTTTTTTTAAATTGATTTTAGAGAAGAAGGGGGAGAGAGAGGTAGAAACATCAATGATGAGAGAACCATTGATTGGCTGCCTCCTGCACGCCCCACACTGGGGATCAAGTCCACTCAACCCAGACATGTACCCTGACTGGGAATCAAACCATGAGCTCCTAGTTCATAGGTTGATGCCCAATCATTGAGCCATGCCCATCAAGCTATTTAATAATTTTTTTAATGTAGAAAATTAATACTTTCTAGTATTCTCTACTGATCAGAGTAGTGAGGAGCATTATACTTCTTATAGTGATCTGTTTAAAGCAGATTAATGTATGTGTTTGCTAAAACTGAGAATACACTGCTCTTGTAGCTATTTCTTTGAATAAAGCAGACTCGGTTTCCTGCTTATCACTACCATGCCCACCTCCCCAGTACAGCTGTAGAAACCTTTTCTGCTTATCCTGATAGACCTCAGAAGGAACATTTTGAAAGTAATGACAATGGACTTCTTTAGTCATATAGTATTTTTTACCTGTTAGGCACTAACCTAACCTAGTTTTCTAATTATACATTGATCTGTTAAATTACTTTCTTATTCTAGGGAGAGCCCACAAGATGGTCTATAGAAAAAAACATGCCAGTGCTCTCTCCCCACCCACCAGTGGGCCCAAAGACTAACCGTGGTTATAGTGTTCTGGTTGATGAAGGACATTCCAGTCCAATAACAGTGGTGAGTTATATTAAACTCTCTGTCATGCACCATCCCAACAGAGCCATTTATAATTTCTTACTCTCAGAAAGAATGCTCTCTGGTTAGATGTCTATATAAGCCTGAGACTTCTACTGAATAAAAGCATAGTCTTATATCTATTCAACTCTGTCTCTACTGAATGGCCCACCTCTAATCAACATCACCCCTGTTGAATTCATTTTGCCTGTTACTGCTAGGTCAATTTGCTTTAGGAAGAGATTACTTATGTTATTTACATGCCCAAATACCTTCACTTACTTTGTGTCACCTATAGAAAACCACAGGCTCTTTCACTTGACATTTAAGACCCTGAACCATATGACCTCAATTTAGCTATCCCCACAATTACCCTTTAGCGTCCTGCAATGCAGCAAATTGAACTACTAGTTGTTCCATACTTGTACTATATTTTCTGACCTCTGCATTTTGTTCTTGCTGTTCCTTTGACTCTCACCTTACTGTAGCGCTTATTTATGCACACAAATTCAATGGTACTCTGTATCATTTGGGGCCAGTACTTATATTTGTATTTCATTTATCAAAAGTATGTGCACATACTCTAAGATAAAAATAATTAAATGTGCAGGAATTTTATTTAAAGAAATTGCACACTGACCTTTTCTTCTAGTTTGATTCATTTATACAGTAGAGGTGGTATTTGCTTGGAGGAAGGTAAGGTAGCTTGAAACAATATAGATACAGGAAAAGATTTGCAAAACATTTGCTGGGGCTTGATGGTTTAAGCTGTAAATGAATTGCTTGATTACGTCTTTATTCTTGCTTTGTGTAGCCTAATGTATTTCCTTGTTAGCATGAACAATTTTTTTTTTTAGATTGCACAATGTTTATGGAGACATTGCCATGCTTTCACAGATTGCTAAAACAGGTTCATTGTTCATCACATATAGTGTTAAGCTCTGACATTTTTCAGAAGGTAAATATGTTTTGACATTTCCGGGTGAACAGCTCAAGTTATGAAAAGCAACCGCCTTCCCTTTGTTGCTACCATATTTCCAAGCTTCATTTAAATGCATACATACACAAATAATTCTCTTATTAGGTGGCAAACTCACTAGACTCTCAAAAGCTTAAACTGGGTGAAACAAAAGAAACAATCAAGTGCTGTTTTCTATCTTCCCACCTGTTTCCGAGTGGAAAAACCCTTGAAAGGCTTTCTTTTCAATTTTCCAGCTGAACACCCTCAATAAGTAGTTTATGATACATCCAGGAGATCTTAATGTGGCAGGAATGAGAAAGTAATTTAAAAATTACAGGAAACACTGACACCAGCACTTCAGAAGCCTTTCTATCTGGTAAGCCACAATTCTTCACTTGGTCACCCCCTGTGGCGAGTCTGCACTGTAAGGGATACCTATTGTCATCTTGGCATTGTAGTTTCCATTCCACAGAAATTCAAGTCCTCTTTGTTTTCCCAACCTGGATACATATCCTTTAAATCTGACTCCTGACCTGACCTCCAAGTGCCATTGAGACAAAGAAAAAAAAAATCCTTTGGGGATACTGCCATCGATTTTTCGCTTTTAACTTTCTTGAGCGAATAAGGAAAGCATCCAGTGAATAGTTATTGCATTTGGTCACTAATTGCACCTAAACTTTCAAAATAACATATAAGCGTTTAGCTGTATTGCTCCCATTAAAACTCTGGAAAGTCATTCAACTAATTCTGCACAGGCTTGGAAAATGCACCCCCTGAGATCTTCCACTAAGAATTAGAAATGCTCAGCTAAGCTGAATAATCACCAGGTAGTCAATTTCGATTCACATTCTGGTACAGATTTGAAAATGGTAAGCTACAGTGTCATGTTTATTCCAAGAAAATATATTATGAACAATTTAAAATATAGCCAATTTAACGTGGCTTTTGATGTGAACTACAACAGTTTGTAGCTCACAGCTGTTGGTTGAATGGTGCAGATTTGTTTTTAGAGATAAATGAAATCAGTTAAACATTTGATTGCCACACTCATCTAACTGAGTGATATCTGTATGCAAATGCAGAGAAGTAAAATTTAGAGCACAACAGCCCATTGATCATGTCCTAGTTTATAGGAACCTTCTTTTTTGAATTCCTACATTCGATTTTCAATGCTCTTGTGTTCAGTTGGATTATATGACAGGAGTCTTAAGGCATATGGGTTTCACGGAGTTCAAAGGAATTCTTTTGGTGATCTGATTCCCTTGTTCAGAAATCTCTAGCTTGTTTTGTTTTGTTTTGTTTTTGTTGTTGTTTTTTGTTTTTTGTTTTTTGTAGGTGGGTATTACGACCTGGCACTTTTGGACTCAAATAGGCTTATGTTCTGTTTCCTAAAATCCAATTCTTGTCAGTTCATTGGGTTTTGTGTCTTGGTCAGGATATAGGCTTGTGCATAGATAATGCACATGCATGGATCTCAGCTCTACTCTATAAAGTCATCAACCACTCAGAGGCTCCTCTAAGTGCATGATATGGAAGTTTCATATGTCACTTCTGCTCACATCTTATTACTCTAAACTGAGCATATATCTATACGGAATTACATGAGATGCTAGGAAATGCAGTCTTTTTTTGTAATAGCTGTGCTTCCTGATTAAAATTCTATTACTTGTGAAGAAAGGAAAACAGAAATTGGGGACTATTATCTTTGTTCCCTTCCTGTGACTGGCTTACAGTTGCTTCTCTTCTTACTCAGATGTTCACCAGTTCTTTGCTTTTCTCCTCCATTTTCTTCTGTTGCTCATCCATTTGAATAAAATATAACTGCTTCCGGGAGCTTTAATTTTCCCATCTCATGGCTTATTCCAGATAACTTTAGTTCTAACTGCTGTGAGTTCCCAGGTATGCTTGTTATATTGTCCCTTTAGTAGTATTTGTATGGGTCATTTGGCACTAATTGTCTTGTGTCACTCTTAGATGTCAAAAATTACTTTTTAATCTCTTCATAGTGTCTATAATTGGAATTCAATATGTATTGACTTAATAAAATTGGATATTTATCACATATGACATGCTTGTCAGGATGGCATGGAGACCAACTTTTGGTGGTAGAAGCTGCCCTATCATTTTTTAAAAATGTATTTACACTTTTATGTAGTTGAGTATTTTGTTCACCACTCTTTAGAGTCAATGTATTAAACCTCATTATGAGTCATTTGTATACTATCCTCACACCCTCGGATCTAAAAGTGCATGTATTCTTCTTAACAAGTTTTTTATTATTTTATTATATTGGAACAATTGGGCCAAAAGCCTTGTTTTTTCCCCTCACTTTTGAAACATTGCTGCTCTTTATAGTAAACCCATAATGTTCTGTCAGTGCCACAAAAGACAGCCGCCATGTTCCAAACTGGCATGACTGGTTCTCTCTCGGCAGTATTTTCTGGATTAGAAAGTGTATCAGTCAGGGTCTCAGCAGGAAACAGATGGCTCACACAAATAGGGTAATTAGAAAGGGTTTAATAAAGAAACTGTTTACAAAGAGCAGACAGGGTAAGGAAAAACTACTAGGGATGTTTAGCCTGCTGGGGTCAGCCCAATGGGGAGGCACACCACCTTGGCCTGTGGGGGGAAGAAAGGGTTTGGACAGAGAGCCTCTCCTACTTGTAAGCTGGGAGAGAGCTTCCTGATAGAGCTGTGCACTTGGTGGAGGGCCCCAGCTGGCCCATCGCAACCTTGGCGGGAAGGGTCCAGAAGAAATAAATCACCCATCTCATTTCCTCCTATCTTTTGATCTCCTGCCAGTGCCGTTGGCCAAATCTAACTGGAATCTGAGGTCAGTTGGTATAGTCCATAGAGAAATGACTCCCAGAGGCTGCAGCAGGAGAGAGAAGGGACAAAAGAGGAGCAAATGGAAAACTCCCAGCCTGCAAAAAAAATCTCAGTTTTGTTCACAATGTTTTCCAAAGTTGCCAGTTACTACTTTTCATTTTTGTTTTCCTAATATTTCAAGGACCTAATAATAGTCATACATTACAGTTAAGCATTTACCTTTCCTCTGTTTTGAATCATATTGCTTATACTTCGGCACTAATCTTAAGACTTAGAGGACTCACAGTAGAATTCATGTTGTAAACATTTAAATGAAATGAGTCCATTCCAATCATATTCCTTTAAATCTCTAAAATAGGAACATTATTCAACTTAACATTTAATTGAGCAAAGCTAATCTGTGCACACAGCATAAATTAGGTATTGTCAGCCAGTTTACAGTATGAATAAAATACAGGAACCCGACAGAGAACATCTCCTTTGTCTAGAGTCCTCCATAATTGTGGCATTTAGTTATGTGGAGAACTTCCACGCCATATGTTTTAACAAATACTTCAGGTCATAAGGGCATGTATAATGGAAGGACATAATTAAAGTTTAATCTGTTCGGTAAAAAGGCACCATTAATTACTCTAGTCAATTTGTAGGGTTATTAATTGGTTCTGGAAACATGTCAAGGTACTAATTTAAATGGATTTTTTTTCCCTAATTGTCTAGACGGCCCCTCGACCACACACCGCCCCAGGAATTATGCAGCCTCCACTTCGATTACAGCCTCTTCCCAGGCATCGTACAGCAGGAACTGTTCCAAAGATCACTCCAGGGTCCAGATCCAAAACCTCACTGCTGGAAACTGAAGCTCCTTTTCCCCTTAGGGTAAACATTATTCCTTCAAGGAATATCTTTTTATTCTTGATTAGAATATTAGATTATCACAGTATTTAAGATGCTAGATTTAATTAATCTACTCAATGACATTTGTATTGTGTACTTATTAAGCACTTATGATGTTCTATTTAATTATCTTACTCAAATGGGAAGGCCTATAATTTCCACTTGAGTGAGCAAAAAGAGTAAGGAATAGGTATAATAAGGTAAAGTGATCTCATTAATTTGAAGGGTTGTATGAAAAACAAAGAGGACCTTTTTACAGAGAGATATGACTTCTGTGAGAATAAAACCCAGTGTTGACTGCTTTTACATTTTAAATGCATGAAACCTAGAAAATGAAACTTTCTAAGAATAGGTTCGCATTTGCATGCTGACTTACTTTACCATCAGTGTATGAAATTGCTTCAAGTTTGACTCTGGAGAACGTTGGGTATAGAAGGAAAAGAATGTCCATCTTTTTTAAAACGCTGAATTAATCACACACAGGAGCTTGACTCTGCTTCCCTTTCAAGGTTATATGTGACTCAGGTAATTTCAGTTATTTTAATAGAGCACAGAAGGAGGCATAATAATCATAAAAATGAGTTCCTTAAACAGGGAGATATAACTAAGACATTCAGTAATTAGGGGGGGTGGGGAAGGGATTGTTTGTATTTCTAGCACAAAGAAGAAACATTGGCAGCTTAAGAACCTGTGTCATAATACAATAGTCATTATGTTCAAATGGGTGAATTTAGTTCCATTCCTTTTTTAGGAAACATAATATACATGAAATTAAGGTATTTTTATCTAACGACACTAAGGAATTAATTCATACAAATGATTGTCTCATAGTAAGAGTATAAATATAACTCTAAAAATGAAAACCAATATTTTAATCTATTTACTGTAGTTTTCAGATTACATATCACTTTTTACAAGCCTCATTATAATTTAATAGTAGTTTATCAGAAAACAGCAGGGGAAATTAAACCAAAAGTGGTGGCACATTTTCTAGGGAAGACTTCGTAGAGTTAGGCAGGAACTTATTGGGTCATAAGTCAATTAGGTTGATGCTTTCCAGAATCTGGTCTCTACTTAGAGACCTAGACATTTCCTGTTTCAGTTAGTGTTCAGGAATGGTCAGGTCCTGAGAGCTGTCTCGGCTAACTAAAATTACTCATAATGACCTAATTTTTCTCTATATAGTAAACTGGAATGAGGAGCAAAATCATAATCAGGGACCATTAATCCACAAGATATCAAATAATCACAGTTTGTAGAAGCAGCATGCCTCCCCCTGTAGGCAGACTTACATGGGAAGCCAGGTCACAATGAGATCATGGAGTCAGAATGAGCAGATGTGGAACGGAATGTTACTGCATCAGGCTTAGATGGCATGATGCACCTAGCTCATTTTAGGAATGGGATGCCAAAGGTTCCAGAAAACTCAAAGGTCTTTGGCTCAAACCCCCTGTATGCTCCAAGAATAACTTTGCCAATAGGACTAGAAATATTCAAAGTCCAATGGGTGATACATCCTCTACCCTAGATAGTACTTGGTTGCGCACTTTCCATGTTTTCCAAGGTGACTATATTCTTTTCAATGCTCCTATAAGTATTATTTTACTATTCTACTTTGATAAGCACATTTTCCTGTAAGATATGTGGATACTATCTATCAGGTAATATTCAAGTTCTATTGGCTAGGGAGGGATTTGTTTTTCTTTCAGGTGATTTTCCATATCTGCTCTTAACCACTGAATGGATTTATTAATTAAATTTACATAGAGATTTTTATTTTTCTGTTTTTAAGTTGGGGGATGTGAATGATTGAGGGACAGGCATTTAATGGTAACTTACATGGCTAACAAGATTGAGATCAATCCATATTAATTTAAACTAGCTAAACTTACACTTTTCATTCAATAAATATTTATTGGATACTTACTGCTCTAAGCATTGGTGATATATCAATTATCAAGGCAGGCAAAAGTCTCTAACTTACTAGATTTTATATTATTTATAATGTACATGGGAAAAAGATAATTCATCTAATTTTTTTCAGTGGTATTGATGATAAAAATGATTTAATATAAAATCAGACAAGAAATTCCTAAAAAATAATGCTCTGCATGACTGATGAATATTTAGTGAGCAACCACTAAATTTGTATTGCTTTCTTAAAGATTAAAGAAGGATGTGGTAAGCTTATGGGAATTGTTCAAAGGTGTAACAGATATAAGCAGGTTGATCTTTCTAAATGTCAGGAGTGAGGGTTTTTGATTTAGGTAAAAACAATTTGGTAAAAAACATGCTGGTTGAAATCCAATTGAGTAAAAATAATGACTTGATTGAAAATGATTATCCTTAGGATGAGAGTTTCTCATGCACTATTGATAGAAATAGAAATTGGTATAACTCTTGCAAAAGCAATATGGAAATATCTGTCAACATTTTAAATGAACATGCTCAAGCATTTTAACATATAGGCAATTTTCCCCAGGAATAAACACATGTGTGAAAAAAAATAAATTCAAGAATATTTAGTAATATAATAGTGAACAATTATAAAAATATCTACATATGTAATAGGATATTGTTTTAAAATGTTATAATATATTAAAATATATTTAAAATAATAAGGTAGAATTTTTGTATTGTCATGAAAAGATGTTCAAAATGTTTTGGGCTAAATATGTGAGGTAAGAAACAGCATGATAATTTTTAAAAAAATGATCAGACCATTTCTAAATAAGATATGTAATTGACTGATAACTACTTAGAAATTAAAATCTCCCAACCTCTCTAAGTTTTCTATTTATATATTTTATTGTTATTACTTTTACTTATCTAATTTATATTTGTTATTAAAATATCAATGCATACCATCAAAGAAAAAGGAAAAATGTAGAAAAAGTAAAATGAGAACATACAACCTGCAGTGTGAACCATTCCAATAATTCTAAACTTCTTGGATAATTCTGTTTAAATCCCTCTCTGTTCACATAAATGTTGTCTTCAATCAAAATACTTATGACATATATCTTTATTTGACCTGATTTTATGAATTTGTAATGAGAAATATTTGGAGAATGATTTTACTTTCTTAAAAAAAAAACTTTTCACTATTTAAGCACCCCAAAATTAAGAATAAATTGACTGAAAAATGATTTTAAAACCATGCCAAATAAAATGATAAAAATGATTAAAGGTGACTGAAAGTTCAGAAAACTATTCATAGGCACAAAAATAATCAATTTTTGAAAATCTAAAGATTCAACTATACCTGAACAAAGTGACGTAATTATTGATTATAACTTTAGTGCTTTATAATTGTTGAGGTAATACATGTTGATCAAACTTTCAAATAATATAAATATCTCTCTATATAAAAGACTAATATGTAAAGTGACCCCTCAGGAGTTCGATCACTCGTTATGATATGCTCTGACAACCAGGGGGTGACACTGAATGAAGGAAGGTCCCAGCTGGCAGCCAGGGAAGGCAGGCCCCAGCCAGCAACCAGAAGGAAGGCCCTGATCACCGGCCAGGCCCAGGGACCCTACCATGCACAAATTTCATGCAGCGGGCCTCTAGTACATATATAAAATACAAAATGATGTCCTCCCCAAATATCCAAATCTCCATGAAAACCTTATGTTTAATTCTTCTAGATATCCCTAATTTTATCAAAATTCACATATAAGTTATTTAAAAGAAATGTAGGATGATATCACATGGATCTTTTTATGAATAGATTTACACAAGTCTTTTTGAAGCCTGCTGAAATTCCATTATAAGAACAAAGAAAATTTAGTTGAACATTCTCCTATTGATGGACTTGATGTTCAACTAAGTTTGTTATACATAATGTGTATTTGTGTGTGTGTACTAGTAAGTATGCTTACATTTCCATCAGTGTACTTGTGTAGTTGTCTTGGGTAGCATTTATTCTTATGGGTTGAGTTTCTAGGGGAAAATAAGCTGAATGGAGTCTTGGGTTAGCCTCTGTACTTGGTACCTTGATATTGTATTTTCCAGAACTACAATAATACCTGAATGGGTGAAATGAATATGAAAAAAGTGTCAAGACTCCCTTGTTAAGTAGACTCTTCAACCCTGCTTCAAAGTAAACACTTTAAATTTCTTGATTCCAAATTGTTTAACTATACTTAGGTTTAGGGGTTGTTGAGGAAAAATCCCCAAAATACTCTAAAGATGCCATCACTGTATATTTGGTTTAAAAATACACTTACATAATGTTAGAAATTCATAAAAACTTAATTTGCTATGGCTGCTTCAAATAGAATGGATTGTTTTGAGTTTGCCTATTTATATCAGTTGAGTTGCATTGCAATGTCAATCATATACTCTTATCTCTAATTTTGGATGACATTGAATCACCACTTAATTCTCTTTCACTGGTTCTTATGGCATGGAATGTGATTACAGGGCAAAAAGGCAATGATGAAGCTGAGGAACTCAATGGACAATTCACAGGGAATGAAACAGTATCAACCTCTGAACATTAACAGTTACATGATGCCTGTTCCTCCTCGGCCTCCTTCCCCGAATGGAAAAATCACAAGGGAAAATAGATCTGAAACATGGAGAAGGAGAAGATTTCGGCCAACCACTGCTCCAAATGGCTTACAACCAGCCTCCGCCGGGGTGATTATGGAATCAAGTTTTCGTGTATTAATTTAGCATTGCATTATTAAATTTCTAGATTTGCAGTAAAAGAATTTAAGGAAATCAAAGGCTAAATGACTTGAACAAAGAAATATAATAGTTTATTAATGTAATTGTAAGCTTGAATGAATCTGCAATCAAATGTTTGAGAAGTGCAATTCAGAAACTAATTGCACAATTGAATAAAAAAAAATCTAGTGAATCTTGAGATCAAATTTAGTTTGTATTATAACCCATTTCCAAATTTTTTATTATTTTGGAAATTTAATTTATTACTTATTTGTTTCCTTAAATTTGCTCAATCACACGTCAGAAACATTTTAACATTTAATTTTCAAAAATTCAGCAACTTATACATAAAAAACAATATATTATATAAAATGACTTTTAGTAAGCTTTTAATAATCACTTCTAGTGATGGCAAATTATTTTATAACACTTAGAAAAAAATTCATTTCAATTTTCTTCAAAAATATTGTACTTTGATGTACTCGTTTCCTCAAAATACTGATGAATAGTCCTAAGACCAGTAAGCCTTTATGTATGTACAGGCTATTATGAAGGCAAGATATCTCTCAATTTTTATTGTGTAGATATACAACTACAATAATTGTAATTATATGTAACTTTTGTGATTAGCAGGGGTCAACATTTACTGAAAGAGAATCAGGGAATGTAGTACCAACATGCACATAGACTTCATGTTATCTCTTTAAAACCAACATCATTCTTGTTTTTTAAATTATTATGGTGGGAAAATTGGTGTACAAGATCATATATATTATACTTCAGGAGTACATTATAATTTGATATTTGTATACATTGCATAGTATTCACTACTATAAGTCTAGTTATCATCCATCACCATACAAATATCAACCATTTCACCTTCTTTCCAAGACTCATCTCTACTAGTAACCACCAATATGTTTTCTGTATCTATAAATTTGTTTTTGTTTTATTCAGTTCTTTTTAGATTCTACATATAAATTAAATCATACTATATTTATCTTTATCTGTCTAACTTTTTTCAAGGTCTATCTGCGCTGTTGCAAATGGCAATTTTCCTTCTTTTTTACGGCTGAGTACTATTTCAGTGTGTGTGTGTGTGTGTGTGTGTGTGTGTGTGAAGGTATGTACCACATTTTCTTTAATCATTCATCTGTTGGTGGGCCCTTATTGTCTTGACTATTATAAATCATGCTGCAATGAACCTAGAGGTGCATATCTCCTTTTAAACTAGTTTGATTTATTTATTTATTTATTTATTTATTTATTTATTTATTTTATTCTTCAGATAAATATCCAGAAGTTGATTAGCTGGTTCTAACCTTAACTTTTTGAGGAATCTCCATACAGTTTTTTTTTTTTATTGTGGCCACAATAGTTTACATTCTCACCAAGAGTGTATGTGAATTTTCTTCTTTTCACATTGTTTCCAATACTTGTTATTTGATGTTTACAGATGTGAGATGATGTTTAATTGTGGTTTTTATTTGCATTTCCCTGATAATTAGTGATGTTGAACATCTTCTCTTGTGTCTGTTGCCAATTTATAGTATTCATGGGAAAAATGTCTGTTTAAATAGTCTACCCATTTTATAATTGGGTCATTTGTTTTTATGTTGTTGGGTTGTGTGAACTTTTAATTTCAGATATTAACCTTTTATCAAATAAACTAGGGCCCCAGTGCACAAAATTCATTTACAGGAGTGGGGGGGAGGGGTCCCTCAGCCTAGCCTCTCCAATATGAGACATCCCTCTCACAATCCAGGACTGCTGGCTCCTAACTGCTTACCTGTCTGCCTGTCTGATACTCTCTAGTTGCCTCTGCCTGCAGGCCTGATTGGCACTAACTGCCTCTGCTTGCCAACCTGTTTGCCCCCTAACTGCTCTGTCCTGCTGGCCTGGTGGCCCCCTAACTGCTCTCCCTTGCCAGTCTGTTGCCCCTAACCACCTCTGCCTCAGCCCCCACCATATTGGCTTCATCTGGAAGATGTCCAGTCTAATTAGCATATTACCCTTTTATTAGTGTAGATGATTTGCAAATATCTTCTCCCATTCAATAGGTTCCCTTTTAGTTTTGTTGATGGTTTCCTTTCCTGCACAAAAGCTTTTTAGTTTGGAATAAACCCATTTGTTTATTTTTGCTTTTGTTCTTCTTGCCTTTGGAGTCATATCTAAGTATTAAAACAAGGAACTTATCAAGGACCTTACCACCTATGTGTTTTTTTCTAGGAATTTTATATTTTCAGTTCTTACATTTTAAATCCTTAATCCATTTTAAATTAATTTTTGTATACAATGTGAGGTGGTAGTCTAGTACCGTGTTTCCCCGAAAATAAAACATCCTCCGAAAATAAGACCTAGCGCATGGAAAGATAAGACATCCCCTGAAAATAAGACCTAGCGCAACTTTGGGAGAAGAAATTAATATAAGACACTGTCTTATTCTTGGGGAAACAGGGTATCTTTTGCATGTGGCCATCCAGATTTTCTAGCACCATTTATTGAAGAGATTGTCCTTTGCCCATTATATTTTTACTCCTTTGTTATAAATTAATTCTTTATATTTGTGCTAATTTATTTCTGGGCTCTCTATTCTGTTCCATTGATCTGTGTTTCTTTTTTTATGTTAATATCATACTGTGTTGATTTCTGTAGCTTTGTAATATAGTTTGAAGCTAGGGACCATGACACCTTTAGTTTTGTTCTTAAAATTGCTTTTGTTGTTTTGGATCTTTTGTATTTCCACACAAATTTTAAAAGTATTTGTTTTAGTTTTGTGAAAAATGCCACTATAACCAAACTCATTCTTAAATGCTTTATTTATTTTTTGTCTACATCTTACTCTTGTCATCTATACTCACCAATGACTTTCTCCAAAACTCGGGACTATGTTCCTCATGCTTGCTCAAATTTCCTCCTTTCTATTTTTTCCCAATTCTCTTCTCTTGGTCCAGTCTCTGAGGCACAGGCTCCACCCTGTCTCCTTGACCTTATCCTTTTCCATTGTCCATGGCACCTAACGTTGTCAGTCATTCTCCTTCCTAATTGGTATTTTTGTTCTCTCTTTAATATTCATCTCTGTCAATCAACATCCCTGGGCCTTATATGAAGTTACCAAATCCTTTCCTCACATTCTGTAGCCTTAGACTTCTGTTTTCTCCTTTCCTTCTGAAAGTTCTCGAAGAGTAGTATAGTTGAGTCTAACAAACAACCCCAGGCAACTCAGCTTCTAACAACAAAGGTTTATTTCTTATTCTTATTATCTGTTGTTGGTCAACTGTAATTCTGGGACCTAGACTCAAGGAGTTGTCCCTGTATGGGGTATGTGGCCTCATGGACAGCAGAACCATGGAATTCTTTGAAGATTCCACTCATAACTGACACGTGTCACTTGCACTTGAGCTCTAGTACCAAATGACATTAATAGTCAGAAGTATCATCCTCTCACACAGATTATGGTTAGATATTGGAGCAATAATAAAATCTACCACATCTACCGACTTATTGTGAATCCATTGCCTGCTGGGCCCCCAGGCCAACAAACATACTGTCTTTAGGATGTGGTTCCCACTTAGCAAATATAGTGACTTCCTTATCATCCTCACTTGGTGGCAGCATTTGATTTTTTAATGTTAAAACATATTTCTGAGATAAACTCTACTGTTCATCCTTTAAAGAAAGTTTAAATGTCTCAACCATAAGAATTATAAAATTTATATGTACAAGTAAAACAACAATAATCAAGCAAACACTCATGTTCACACAATGACTTCTGAACAAAGTATAATGTTACTGTCATGTACTCAACCCCTTGGTCCTGAGCTATCACATCCCTTATTGCTTCCCAGAGCAACTCCCATACTGACATCTGTGTTAACCGAGTCCCTGCTTTTCTTTGGAGTTCTATCACTTATATTCAGTAATCTTCAGAAATAAGCTCAAACCTAGCATTGTAACAAAATGATAATATTCCTGGAGAAAACAGGCTAAATAGAGTTTTTGAGTCACAGTCTGGGATTGGTGTAAATTTTTATAATAGTTTTAAGAACTTCTGCGGAATTCAAAGCCAGGTCATGAGTGTGTCTTAAGAAAATGGGGCTCACCAGAGACAGGCCATCTAGAGAAGTCCTCCTGGAGCCAGCTAGTAGACGTACATAGGATGTGGTCAAGTGAATGAGCTGTAAACTGACACAGAGGTGACAGTGGCAACTGAGGCAACTTCTCTTGAACATTCTGCCCTGAAGTTGGAAATGCATCAGTATGGCATTTGCACCAGCCTTGCTTTGAGAGACCTTAGCATGTCTTTCTCTTGAGTCACAAGGCTTCAGTTTGCCCTGGTCTTAAAAAATAAAACAACAAACAACAAGAAAACTTAAAAAATATAACACCTTCTGTTCTCTCTTTTCAAAATCCCTAGCTTGGGAGTGTTGGAACTACTAAACTGATGCTCTAATATTCTTAGCTTTTCTCTCTAATTTTCTGTCTTTTGTCTTTTTGTTCTACTTGCTGGGAGATTTCTTCAATTTAATCTTCCACACATACTGCTGAGTTTTTTCTTCTGCTGCCTTATTTTAATTCTAAGTACCTCTTTTGTGTTCCCTGAATGTTACTTTAAAAAGCTTCTTATTCTTGTTCTGTATGATTTTGATTCTTTGCTATTTGTGGAGATTTGCTTTATAGGCTAATATATGTTCAAATTTTGTAAAGAATGTGCTTCTCTAAATGTTGGGATCAGCATTCTATAAATGCCCAATAATAAGAAATGTAAATTGTCATTTATATTATTATTTTATATTATTAGCATTTAAAAAGAAATCTGTGTGGTCCCCCAGTTTCTGAATTCTAATGATCATTCTCTGTAATTTATTTATTTATTTATTTTTTAAAATATATTTTATTGATTTTTCACAGAGAGGAAGGGAGAGATAGAAACGTCGATGAGAGAGAAACATCGACCAGCTGCCTCCTGC